ATATAATCTGGTATAACAGATCTGATATTGAGGTCCAAATACCTCCAAAGCTAAAATTTTGATGCAAATTTAAGTATGTCATATTGTAATAAAAAAATGTTATTAAATTGATTTAATATCACATTTAATTTCTCAGTAGAATTAGTTAGTTATTTGAGGGCTACAGTTATATGTTTTTTTCGTGAATTCCACTATGCAGCTCTATAGACTTTGCTAAATCCTTCTTCTGCAATAAATTGAATATTTTTGAATTGGTCATAAGAAACAAATTCCATTTTATTAAGTATATAAGTATTATTTCGTAAATATTTAATAATTTCGTCAACAACTATGTTTTTACTTTCTTTAGAAGGTTTCTCACATTCATGACAAATATTATATATATTAATACAAATTTTACAAATTCACAAATTATCTATGGAAGATTTTCTCTATTCATGACACTTATTGCATTCTTGTTTGCTTTATTAATTCATTGAGAAGACTTTATCCATTAATGACATTCATCACATTTGTTATATAATTTAATACAAGCATGACAAACCCATTGATTTTCTATGAAAGGTTTTCTCCATTTATGACATTTATCACATATGGTAAAACAATGGTGATAAATTGTTTAATGTTCAATAAAAGATTTTCTATAATTATCGCATTGAATACTATTTCATAAAATATATCCCAATTCAAAGAAAGACATTTTAATAAATCTGTTGAAATATAATTATTAAGAACTTTATATTTATAAATTTTTTCCAGTTACTTAAAGTACTATTTTAGCTGAAATTCTATGATGTATTAATAGATTATTCCATATGTAAGAAATTCATAAACAGTATTATAAGAAACTTTCAGTACATTATTAATATTGTGATACAATGCAATTCATTAAAAATTTTCTTTATAGAAAGAAATTTTGCTGATCTAATTTTTGCCTTGATAAACTATTTGTACAGTTGATTTTCTATGGAATTTGCAAAAAAAAAATATTGGATTGATCACATGAGCGAAATAACGAAAAATAAGATATTAATAATTTAATAATTATTTACTTCAACTTTAATTGTGAAATTATTTATTAGTACTTAGACAAAATAAAAGAAATTATTTTTAATGAAAGATCAATACTATCAAATATTTATAAATTGTGATAAGTAAAATTTATTTACTCCCTGAAATATTTAATAAACTTGCATTGAAAATGATAAATTATCATCAAAATTAAGGTTGTGAGACAAAAATCAAAAATTATTGTCACTTTTGACGGGTTTGATGAATAATAATATATAATTGTATATTATAAAAAGAACTCAGAAATGAATTAGCATAATTATTAAACTAATCTTTCATATAAAAACAATAACTAATAAATAAAGTGTATTAAATTGAAAATTGTTCATTTATCTAACTTTTATTTTATCTCTCTCTTTATATATATTTATTTAATTTTATTAGCTATATTATAATAATATAGGTCAAATAGGATAGGAAGAATATCAAAGCTTTTTCGTGAAGATAAGTATTAGATAAGTACTTTTCATTTTTACTAATTATTATTTAAAATAATAAAGAAATTCACACGAATTTTTTTTCAAAGTAAAACTAATCAACTAGATAACTGCCTCAATTTATATTCGAGTATAAATTAGTTTTTCAAAATTAATGTGTCCTAACTAGAATGGAGACAGTTCTATCAGTTCTATTTCAATTTCTCTTCAGTTCTACATCGACTCTTGTTAAGTAAATTAAACTTTGAGCATTAAGTTAAATTTATTCTAATAGAGAATCATGTGATGATCAATTTAAAAAAATGTTTTTGACTAGTTATCAAACAAATTCGTCCTATTATTACCTTTAATTTGATAACAATCTGATTTTGAGTTGACTCTTAGAACTGGTTTGGAGTCAGTTCAGTTTGATTTTTAAAATTAGTTAAAAATGGTTTATAACTCAGAAAAACCCAAAATATATTGAATTTGTAATCGGCTCAGAGTTATTTTTTTTGAACTATCCCTATTCTTAGTCTTAATACTATAGCGTAATTCAAATCATCTTAATATAAAATATAATAATGAGGAAATGTTTACAGCACGCGATCAAACTAAAAGAGTAAAAAAGTTCATTTGATGCTAAAAGATATCACCTAAAAAATAATCTAAATAAAATAAAAAGTTCTAGTTAACAAATAATGATAATAATTATAATAATAATAATATTACTTTACAGCCAAAAAGAAATATAAAAAAAATTTATTAATAATTCAAAAACCTAATGTAAAATAGTAAAATCCTTCAACTATCACATACTGAAAAATCAAATCATCTATAGCTGCAGTCACAAGTTAGCTTAGACCAAAACTAAAAACTAAGATTTTCAAATACTTATTGAAATAATTCAATATGATATCTGATATAGAAACTTAAAGAAAAGAAAATAGCGCTAATTCTAAAAAAAATGAAAATATTCGATTGCTGTAGTAATAAGATCAAACTAAAATCTGTTGTGTTGTGGTAATGCCATATTTGAAATTAGTGATAATTTCAGAATCCAAATTCTAACTTCAGTGTATTTATTTATTATTAATTTTCTCTTTTTTGTTAGAACATTTTTTTAGGTGATTTCTTTCGAGTTTGATTACTTTTAGTAGGAATATATCTTTAATTTTATTTTCATCAAATTATTAATTTATAATTTTTTTTAAGCGCTGCAGACTATAATTATTTCAGTTTTTTTTTATTTTGAAGTAAATTCGATATGTTATTTTATTATTATTTATAATTTTATTTTGGTTACTATTAATTTCTATATTGATAGATTTCAATGATTGCGATTAAGCCTTTTGATTTAATTATTTTTTCCTTAGAATATGATTGTTTAAAAAAGTATTTAATAAGGCATTTAATTTTATTTAATAATTAATTTTGTCCAAATCTAACTTATAATAGGAATGATATTAAAGTTCCTAATATATTTTCGCTTAAAAATGAAATCTAATTTTTTTTGTTAATTAAAGTCAGGTATAATAAATCACGTAGGTAGAAACTTTGAGGATAACTTCTCTAATATAACTACAAAAACTCACTAGTACGTAATATTTTGTGATGCTAAAAATTTGATTAGATAAACTATTGACTAATCATTTACAAAATATTGATCATTGAAAAATTCTAAATATATTATGACAAAAATTTGTGATAGAAATAAAAAAACAAAAACTTTATAAATATAATTTTGTAATAATTTTGCATTAAATTCCATATATACTAAAGTAAGAATTTATTAATTTCTATACAACTTAATTTAATAAAACAAAAATTCTATTCTACAATACTATGTTGCTATTTCTATTTATTTCTTTACTGCTACTACCCTTTTTTCATTTATTTTTATTGCAAAACTTCTGTTATTTATATTCTTTTAATAATATTATAAATATAATAATATATATAAGTATATGCTATAAAATGAATAATATAAATTTCACAAATAAAATAAATAAATTACTAACCTTTAATTCAAAAATCTCGTATTATTAGAATGATCTTTTCATATTAATACAGAGGGTGGTCAAAAGTTTCTAAACACTTTTTCACCAAATATAAAACTGATAATTCTTTAGCATTAATAGTAAAAGTTTTAATATTATTTTATTTAGAGCTGATTAAGGTATACAATTTATATTAAGCTTTTAATACTTGGTTTGGCCTTCCTTTGCCGCAATCACAGCCTGAATTCGCTGTGGCATGCTATCAACTAAATTTTTAATAGTATGCATCGAAATTTCTCGCCATGTCTTTTTAACATATCGGTCGAGGTCAGCAAGATTTGATGGTGGTTTTTTATATACACAAATGTTTTTTTTAATCTCAGCCCATAAATTTTCAATTGGGTTGAGGTTAGGACTTTAGGCTGGCCAAGTTAATGTAAGAAAACCATTTTCTGTCTGAAAATTCATTACAACTTTCGATTTGTGCGAACGGGCATTATCTTCTTGGAACTAGCCATTATTATTGAGAAATATTCGTCTCATAGCTGGCATTACATATTTACGAAGAATGGTGACATGTGATTCACCATTTGCTATTCCAGATAATGCAACAATTGGCCCTTTTCCCTTTCGAGAAAAACAGCCCCAATACATACGGATTGGGCTATGCTTTACTGTGGCTGATATACAGGATAAAGCTCACTCATCTGCTGGTTCTTGCTACACTCTGCTATTATGACTTTGTTGGAATTGAGAGAAGGTCAATTTATCACTCCACATGACCTTTGACCAATCTTCTTTTGTCTAACTTTGGTGTTCTAAACACCATGCGAGACGTGCTTCTATGTTCGCTGGTGAAATTAAAGGTTTTCTTCATGCAATATAGTTTCTTAATCCAGCTGAATAGAGAACTCGTCTAATAGTCTGGATTGAAACATCTTGTCCAGACTTTTTTTTCCAAAGTTGCTACACTCTAGCAGTACAAAGACGATGATTTTTAGTTTTATCATTTGTAATGATTCGTTTGAGGCGATTACGTTGAGGAATTGTAATCAAGGATGGTCGTCCAGAGTGAAGCATTGATTCAGTCGATCCTGTGGTGCTAGCTCTTTTTAATGTATTACAAACAGTTAATTTTCCATAGTTAACGATCTTTGCAATAGTCCAGTAACTGTCACCACGTTGGTGGCAGTAAAATATGGCTCTGCGTTGTTCTTTGGTTAATTTTTTATTTTGTCCCATTATTTTTCGATTTGGTAGAGATTAAGTGATATAAATTAAAATAACAAAAATAACACGAATTTTTTATTTTGATTATGTAAATAAACAATTGACGGTTATATGACCGCAGTATGGTATCACAATTATATGATGAAAATTTTTTAAATCGCATTTATAAAGGTGTCCGGAAACTTTTGCCCACCCTCTGTAATATTATACATTAATGTTAATATGTTCTAACTTCTCAAATCATATTCTCAATTAACAAAAAATTTCATTCTACTCCTTTAATCTATTGAGAATTTTTAGCTTTGTTATGTTCTTTTAAAAATCTCAAGACTTTTTCTGTTATATTGATAAGTTAGTCATAAATAATAATATTATTTTCCTAACATTTTTAAGTTAAATCAGTACTTCTAGTTTCAGGAATTGCTGTAGTTCTTACAATAGAACTTATTTCATAAGAAATATTTTGATTACTTTCCCATATAAATGGATAATCACAGTTTCTCTATATTTTGTGAAAAAATTCTGCATCTACTACCCCTTTTATCTAAATTAAATACTTGAAGATTATAAACTTATTTGTTAAAAATAAGGATAGCTACAAATCTATTTTAAATATTTGTCATGTAAGTATTTTTAATATTGCATTTACTTAGTAATTTCTACTCAGTTTTAAACTATTTTTTCCAATCTAAATATTCCCATCCAACCAGTATTTGTTGAAATTTTTATTCTTGAAGTGGTATCATTTTTAATAAGATGATATAAGTAATAATATCAAGATGAGATGAAAGAATTTATATAGAAAATCCCACTTTAAAGCTTTCTAGTATCCTTTAATGAATATTGTCATTTTAAGAATTGAAATATTTTTATAGGCTGATTATACCCATAATTTCTAATGTCTATTATTATACTACTCTTTTTATAAATATATACAAAAGTGTATTAATGAATACTGTTTATAAAATTTATAATTTCCTTTACACCTTATTCTTGTATTTAAATACTTATTAAATACTCTTAAGTTAAATTTGGTATCAATGAATGCTGATATAAATGTTGATGTATGATTTCTCATACTTCTTATGCAATTTTTTAGGACAAACGTTTTCTAATCTTATTTCTACTATTAGTACAAATGTTTCAATAAAAGAAAATTTTTTATATGCAAACAAATGAATTATATATAATTTGTTAAGCCTTTTTGAAATCCTTTAATTTTGTTTTAATTGCATATTACATATACCACTGGCATATTTAAATTTTTATAGTTGGTTATGCACATTGTGCATCAGAAATTTGGGCGAAATCCTTATCTGTTAGAAAAATTCTGGCTTCACAGATTTGCGAAGTCTAATTTCTATTAAATGTTCACTATAGTATTTGTTCTTATTAATTCACTGCAGTTTCTATTATTTTCAAGAAATAAATAAGCCAGTAGAAATCCAGTATCATGAACTTCTGTATAAAAATTATAAAGCTCAAATTTTAAATTATTTGTGTTATCTAAATTAATAATTATAAATTAATAAAAACTTTAGTAATTACTAACAAACTCTATTAGATTCATTAATTATAAATTAAACTTACATGTAGTATTGATCCTACACTCATATAGCGAATTTTTATTTTTTTAATTATCTTCTTAATATCTGTTATAAAACCAATGGCTTGTATTAGAGATTCTGAAAAAATATAATATTTTTCAAGCCATTTTTTTGCCAAAATAAATTTATTTTCATCACATTTATAATAATTAGCCATAAACTTTGATCATTAAAAATATATTTGTTTTTGATAAATTAATAAATCCATTCTATTAGAATCCAGTTTAACATAAATTTCTCAAGGTAAAAGATTGATATTTTCTTTAATAAATCTTTAACATAGTCTGATACAAAATGATTTAAAGAAGAAGGGTGAAGATGCTCATAAATTAATGAATTTGAAAGATGCTAGCCACTAAATTAATAATAATTTTAAGCATTCTATTGCACTTGAATCTTTCTCTTGATAGTATATGACATTGATGATTAAAATCTGCATGTTTATGTGATTTTTTTTGAGATTTGTTCACTAAAAACAAAAATACTAAAAAGATATAAAATTCTGCTTTTAATGTTCATATTTTTTATGAAACTAGTAATAAAAGTATTAAATAGTTATTATTGTATTAATAGATTTAATATCTTTATTAATATAAAATTTGATAATTACTTTCAAAAATATTCATTTATATCTGAAATTTACGTTATAATTAAATTTTTTTAATTTGTTTTTTTGGTATTTTGATTATTTTTTGCTGTTGTTAGTATTTTAATAGTAATTTTGAAATTTAACTAGCAGTTTCTTCTGATAATCTATCAAATAAGAAAGAATTAACAATTCATACTATATTTAACTTCAAATTTTTTACTTTCTATTTTTAGCAAATTCTTCTAGTTGTTCTGAATAAAAGTCAAGAAATACATCAAAATTAAATATTGTATTACAGGATCCGTATTATCTGAATTATTACTATTTTTAGTCTCTTGCAGACTGTATTCTGATTTTTTTAATTATTTTATATAATAGTAAATGCAAGTACAAAATTGCTTACCAGTTTTATCATGAAGATAAAGTTCAATAGATAAATTTTTATAGCAACCAAAATATATTTACAACTTATCAATATTGCTATTTTGCTTTTAAGAATACATTTAAAAAACTATCAATATTATAATATACATATATTCAAATTATAATAATATACACGTCTTAAAATTACACTTAAAAATGTAAAATAAATAGCAAATAAACAAGTTTTTAACACCTTTATTTTAAGTATATTACTAAGAACAAGTATAAAATTTCTTTTCAAAATTTTTCACAATATTTGAATAAGAACAAGATAATACTAATATTTAAATAAAATTAATAAATGTGAAATATACTGATGAGATTAATGAGGCTTATGTGTCACAAAATATCATGTTGTTAAGCTTAAACACTACGTTATTAGGATATCAAAGCTTATTTGCTAACAGGAAGTTTAAGTTGTAAACTATAAAAGAAATAAACATGAATTTATTTAAGTTAAAGAGTCAGGTCGTATTTATTGATGATTTATGTTTTAAGAAAATAGATATTGATAAAGATATAGTTTTTATATTGTTAAAATTATACTTTATTAATTATACAATAAAAATTTGTTCTTTTGTCAAGGTGACAATATAGGATATTTATATAAAATACAATTATAAGAAAGAGATAATAAATATAATAGTGAAAGTAAATATAACTATGATAATAAAGATAATAAATAAAATAATGATAAATATAATAACAAAGAAAATAAATATCACAATGATAACTGTGATAGCAGTGAAATTGGTGAAAATGATGATTACAATTTTCCTAGTAATCATTGGTGACATTAACTAACGCAGTCATTTAGTGATGCAAACAGGTTATCACTAATAATATGTCAATTGTGTTTATCGTGTTTACAAGTTATTAAAGTTATTTACTTGTCTAAAAGTATAAACTTAAGGTTAATTATGATAGAACTTATTCTATAGTAACTTAGTAGTTTCTCATATGTTACTACCTATTATTAAGTTATAGTTACCTTAAGTTTGACGAGTTGAGCGTAAGGTTAACAAATTGGTGAATTCTGCCAGGATTATAATTGTCTTTATTAAACTTATATAAAATATACCTACTAATTTTGACATTTTAAAAATAATCTAAGAATATCATAAAAAAGCACATAGAAATAATTCACCTTTGAAAAAAGATGCATCTTGTATATAATGTAATCTTATTAATCAAATAGTAACAAAGAATTTTACAAACTTTGGGAATTAGATCTCTAGTTAATATAATATTATAGCATTCAGTGATTGTTCTTTGATAGCATTTAGACTTATTTAGATAGCTATCGTGAAAATGCTCATAATAGTAATAAAATAACAAAAGCAGCAGTCGCATTATTATATTATTTAAATTATTACCTATACCCTGCTGATTTACCTTCCGTTTTACAACATTTATTATTAGTCATCCACACTATTGAGTGCTTTGAAAAATCCTTAAATACTTCTATCTCACCTTTTACTTCCACATCTACAACCTCTGAATCAACTAAAGTAATAATGAATACTGAACAGCTAAAGAACCTTATGAATCACATAACAAAAAGTTTTAAAGATCTTGCTAAAGATATCAAAAATACACCATTTAGTTCAAGTTAAAATAGTGGAAATCTCACTCCAAAGAAAAGTAATATTATTTTAGTAAAATCTTTCTATGGAAATGATGATGAAGACTCTAATGATTGGATTAGAAGCTTCAAAATTGCTGTTGAAGCAAATAATTGGTCTAAAGCTCGCATGCTGAAAATTGTATTAAGATATCTGCATAGATTAGCTGCATATTAGTATGAAGAAAATGTTGATAACATTACTCGATGGAATGCAGATGGCCATGTTACATCAAGTTTTGTACCATTATTTTTGAAAAAATTCTCAACTGAGGAAAAGCAAAATTTATGACACCATTAATTAAATACACTTTGCTAAGAACTTTATGAAAAAGTAGATTTGTATGCAGGAAAATTTAAGAGATTGTTAAAGAAAGTTAACTCTTCTAGTGCCTTACCAGATAAATATGTTGTAAGACTTTTTCTTAATAGATTAAGAAAGAATATCATCTCTCTCATAGCATTTACTTATCCTAAAAATATAGATGAAGCTATTGATGCAGCTAAACAAGTTGAGAGTGGTCAATATTATTAACAGCAATCTCCTGTACTAATTCAACTAAGTGGAAGCAATAATGTTATGATAATCTTACCAAACAAATGGAATAATTATTTTTAAACTATGCAACTCTCTCCAATACATTATCTGCATAACTTGAAGGAAAATCTGAAAGTAGAAAGCCAAAAAGATGATAGAAATCTTACGAAAGTTTGAGACACAAAAACTTGGGATAAAAAGGATATTATTTGTTATCATTGTCAAGAAAAAGACATTATTCAAAGAAATGCATATCTGATAAACCAATATATCGAAGAAAATCTGATAAAAGAGAAGCTAATTATATTGAAATTTTTACCAATAGTGAAGAAGAAGAATTTGAAAAAGTAGAAAAGAAAGAAGTCTATACTCTCTTACGAAACAAACCTTATACTACTAACAGAAAAACTGCTTAACAGTTAGAAGCGAAAAGGAAAAACATTCTGAATCTAAAAGAGAATTAAATTTGAGAAGCAGAAAACCTATTGACAAATTTATAGAAATAGAAACCCCACAAATTATTACTTCTACTCTAAAGAAGAAAGTCAAATGAGGGTTATCTTAAATCAATCAGATGCCTCTCTATAGTGTTATGCAAGAATTATTGCAAATGCCTTCTTTTACAAAAATTGGTCAACTTTTACAATATCCAAATCAAAGATGTAATCTTACTCAAGGGTTGAGGAGACTAAAAATCTAAGAAATAAATTATGCTAATCAAGAAAGTGAAGAAAAAAAGAAAGACAAATCCACAGCTATTCGTTATTATATCAGAATTAAAGGAAATCCTATAATTGCTATCCTAGATTCTGAAGCTGCTGTCAGCATTATCACAGAAAATTAATGAAGAAAGTAGGATTATCTATCGATGAACAGTCTAATACTGTTATAATCACTGCTAATGGAGAAAGAACTAAAGTATTGGGATAAGTTAAAAGAGTCCAAATTGCTATTCAAAACCTATTAATTCCTATTTTTTTGCAAGTTATCAACTCTCAAGATGAAACTTTACTTCTAGAAACGGATTGGTTTAAAAAATTAGAAAAACTTATGCTAGCCTTGATTTTGAAACCAACCAAATTAAATTAAGATATTTAGCAAAAATAATCACAGTTCCTGTGACTTCTAGTGCAAATGAAGCTCCTATTAGTTATTCTACTACTCAAGATCAATAAGATGACGAATTAGAACAAATCTTGGATGATTATAAGAAAGAAGAACTTAGCAAAATTGAAGCTTATATGGCAGATAGTCAAGAAGAAAATGAGAAGAAACTGCCTTTCTACCTCTCGACTACAATCCTTAGAATGAAGAAAACTCTGTCTATTTAACTCTTGTATTAAAGAAAGAATTTAAGCCTATCCTAGCAGTATTTTATGCTGAAACTTCTAAAGAAGATATTTGGAAAATTAAAGATAACCTCCAAGTTGGACTTTTAGATAACAAGTAACAAATGTCTTTTCAAAAATTAATT